CACCAAAAAAGAGAACCAACGAACAACGAACCGTAGCGGATGATCTCAGTGGTGGATCGCCCCGGTCTTCGGCAGTAACGTTGAAACGATAAATGAAGAATCTCTCTCGGAACTGGTCGGCATCCAATCGCATTCTCGCCGAAATCTCACCGCGATCATTTATCGTAAAATTATGATCATCGATACTATACGCTACCAGAGCGTTCTCTCCAGAATCTTTGTCATCAGCTTGTACTGAAATTTGTTCATAAAATCGTCTGCTTGGAAACTCAGGATAACGAGAATACAGAGAATATCACCATTTCTATTGTATTATCGAAACGTGTAACATCGGTGCATTATCGTTAACATCTTCCACTCATTCAACAATTCAATATTCTTATTCAGAATAATTCAATCTTCGCAAGACACAATTACTGTTCTCAATTACTGTTCTCATTCACGAGAGAACATCGTGGAGAGCAATCTGATGATTGATGGGTCAGTGAAATACCCCAAGAAAGAAGATTCCATCACTTTGCTTAGATTGTTCACTTTGAAGCCTTGAAGATTACTCNCTCCGAGCGCTTTTGTTCATTTTAGGCGAAGCCACATTAATAGTGATATGTTAGAGGTTGATTCATTAATTTTTTTCCACATTTCAGAACAACATTCAACGCCGAACAAATATCACCTATCATTAGTACGCATTTGGCTGTTTTCAAAAACCTTCGCCATTCATCACCATTTCATCCAATTCCATTGTCGTCGAGAAGGCTCGAAATGTGAAACATTATATTTCTGTGAAAGCAAATTTCCTATTGCCTATGAACATGGAATCGGCATTTTTTCTTCGAGTGATCATTCAAAACACTAAATGCTGCACCTGTAAGAATGGTCTTCCCGATAGCAATATCCTCCTTTGTGGTGGCCGTATAGAGCGGTTGTGTGAACATCGGTGCGTTATCGTTAACATCCTCCACGAATATCTCCAATGGTACCGAACTCTCTTTTCCATCTTCGTGAGCAACAACTGCAAAATTTGTCACAGTTTAGCAAAAATTCCAAATACGATACCCACCACTATCAATATCCTCTTCGCATTATATCATATCCTATGTTAGACAGTAATTCCAACCGATGAATAATTGTAATGAAGACAATCTGTTCGATCCCATGAAAACTCAACAACATTCTATTCAACTCAACAATTCAGTCAACTTGCGTCAACGAGATCAGTTCGGTTTTCAAATGTTTACGATCGAATCATATCT